AAAAAAAAAAAAAAAAAGCGGAATAAAAAAGAAAGCCATATTTGGCATTTGGCATGACTAATAATATAATACATCTTCTCAGCTTTTCTAATGTCATCCAACATACCCACCACCTAATGATGACTAATGACCGCTTAGCATAATTCCCATTGTCATACAGGAAAAAAACAAACCAAACTCAATCGACGCTGCAGGGTAACTTTAATTTACTTTATAAATGCATACCTTGCAGCCTCGATTGGTTGCCTTGTGTTTGACAACTTTTATCACATGACCATGTTTATTCTTTGATAGCCGCCATGATGATTGACTATCCAAAGCATTCCCAAGCTTTTCTATTTTGATCGACAAAAATGGCAGCCGCTTCATCGTTAATTATATATCAAGGGAATTTCTGGTTGCACTCCAAGAATTTTTTATGAGAATCAAAGCTGCATCGAATGCGAGGGCACATGAGGAAAAAACATATTGATTGTTTTAGCCAACACGGCTGCCGAGTTAGAAAAGTTCATCGAATGCATTTTTGGTGAAGAAGCCCAAAAAACCAAATGGTAATTAAATCAATTGTGATGATTCACTCCCAGTCCCCTCCTTGGTCCCACAGTATCTATTTATCAATCCCCATGGGCATTTTCTTTCTCTATTAAAAAATCCTGAAGTGGGTCTTCGTCGTCGGGAAGCTGAAAGCTGACTTGTCGTTTCACAGTAGAATGTTTATTCTAAAAGGAAATAAAAAAAAAAGTATAAATTATAAAGTTAAGTATTAAAGCTATTAGCAATTCTGAAGTTGAGAAAAAGAGTGGGTCAAGTCGTTATTGCACTGCATATTTTCAAGATGGCATCTATTTTGCCCCCACAAAAAGAAAACAGTCCCACGATGCACTGCAATGTTAACTTGCCTCGCTTTTTTTCTCAACCTCGGAATGGCTAATAGAGAGACCAACCTGTTGTACAACATGGTCTAACATTTCAATTAGCTAGCCGTTATTGCTATAGGGGAGGAGCCTGAAAGATTGCACCATTCTCCTCCCCTTCCCTGTTCAGAAATGCCTACAGATGTGGGAAATATCATGTTTTGTGGTAAAATGTGACAATATTTTGGGAAAACTGCGTTTTGAAGTTGAGTAGGTCAAAGTTGTTGCATGTTGCATAGCTTAAATTTATTGTGGATATGTAAATAAAACGTGCAGATACGGTTTGAGAAAATTCAATATTGCTATGATCTTTCACTAATTGTATTAAAATCACCAATAGTGTGTTTTGGGCTAGGTATGCAACATTGCAACTAAGCTGGTTTAACCGACCTGATTTAAATAACTGCATAAGCATCACAATGCTTAGAACATCGATTTGATTGATTAAGCTATTCACCATGTTGAAGGACGTATTACAAATATTTGTTCAAGTCATCCAACATGGTCATTTAGGAACTGCAAGCATACCTTTATAATGAATGTAAGTTATTAAAGATTTTAAACAATTAACATAAGTTTAGAAGGATTTATTTCAGTCAAGGAGCGTTATACAAGCTTTGGGTTTGTGTTTCACTTAAAGAAATAACTTTACCTTATTAGTCTTTATTTGACTTTACCAATGACATGAAAGCAGAAACTCATTAGATGGTTGAAACGTGTAACAGCCATACATTTTTTTAGAACGATGTCCGAGAATATTCAACTTTTTACTTGACAATTTTTTTTTACAATAAATCACGACTTCTTGGAGACTTCTTGCCCAAAAATTTCCAAAATTAATTTAAAGATAACTGGATATCGCAAATACTTGATCGAAAGATTCAGTAAATCTCAAATGAAACTCAGGAAATTCAGAGAGAAGTTTGATATGAAGCGGCCATCTTAAAGCCAAACTCATAATTCAAAATATGGTATAAAAACTTTTTAATCGCGAGGTCAAACAGTGGGATCATGGGTAAAAACTGCTATATGTTAATTGCATTTTTCATTTCATTTTTCAAGCACTATTTTCATTAAAYATTCTAGAGCAAGTAGCGTTATGCTAGTTCCAAATAAAGTATACCAAAATATAGAAATTTTTACAACCCAAGGTCCTACTTTATGACCCCTTGAGCTTGAACAGTTGCGCGGAACTCCTGATGTATGTATAGTGTTACACGTTTCAACTCGCTCATGAGTTTCTGATGAAACAGCCTCGCGTGATTAGGGACGTAAGTGATATTACCAATTATCATGAGATAGAAACGAGTGGAGCAAGTTGCAGACGTCAAGAGAAAGAATGCTAGACTTGAAAATGAATATTTATAGCGACTGCCTCTTTACCAGTCTTCTCTCATCTCGTTTAGTCCGTTTTGTTATCTTGAGACTGGGTTTAAAATGAGATTTATCAAATGGAGTTTAAGAATTATTCTTTTAAGAATTTAAAAAAAAAGTTATGGGAGAATACAATCATTCTACTTTCAATTTTTTCTTAGTCGGATGTTTGATGTCGTTTCGTTTAAGTTTCGTGTTACCATTTGAAGTAGTAGACAGGCCTTGCTATTTATCAGCGAGGTCACTTAGCATCAAAATTTTTAATTTTCTTAAGCTTTATTCTAAGTCATAGTGAGTTTTTTTTTTTTTTGTTTTTTTTTGATGAGTAAATGTTGGAAATTAGACATTTACGAAAGATATCAGAGAAAGTAGTTGAACTGAAGCCAAAAGGTAGGCCAAAGACATGAAGAAAACGAAAAAAAATAAAAAATAAATAAAGGAAAGGAAAAAAAAGAAATAAAGATAAAATAAGACAAAAGATAAACACGCTAATACCAAACAAAATATAAAGAGAAATACAAAGAAAAACAAGATAAAGTAAAAAGAATTGAAAATAAAACAAAAAAGTACAATAAGCAACATTAACCAGGAAAAAAAAACAAAAAACAAAAAAACAAAAAATCACAAAAGAAAATGGAATACACAAAGCAAAACAACTAAACAAATTTTAAAAAGAAAACTCATACTCAAGACGTATAAGAAACGATAGAAAAGAAAGAGTTTTTTTTCTTGTTTTGATTTGTTTCAGTACCTCAACTTTGATCTGTTTCTTCTGTAATATAATCTTTTCTTGATTCGCCAGTTTCATCTTCATTCCAAGGTCTGTCCCACAAAGTCCGATTCTTGCCCGCAACATTACGATCTTCCCGAGTATTGTCCGACTCTTTCCGAGTCTTATCCGATAAAGTAATACTTTGTTCAGAAATTTTGGGTTTTTCTCCATGGACGTTTGCAACTTGATCACTAATGCGGACACTTGATTCTAACGTGACAGCGGTTTCTCTATCTTGCGTATGCGTAATTTCTCGTGAATTGTGAGTAACTTCTGTGATTATTTCTTTGGGAGTAGTGCTCTCTTTCGGAGCATTACTTACAGAGTCGTTTCGAGGGGAAGCTGGGATACCCGAGTCAGGAGATCCCTTGTGCTGCTCGGTGTTACCCTTGCTTGTTGATACTATATCTTCGGCAGATTGTTCTAGGAAATAAATAATACGTTACCATAGAAACATGCTTCTTTTTTAATATAGCTAAATGGTGACGTAATCGGACCCCTTGCAGCACTTTGGAATCCAGCTGAATTTGAAGGGCAAAACAATTTATTTCTTTTGTTTTGTCCCCCAGATCGAGCCGCTTTGACATCACATGCAAGGGGTCTATTTTCAGGTTGAACTTTCACTAATAGACCCTTTTAGCTTCGTATGCAAATTGCCCAATTGAGATCGAATGAGTGAATGAATGAAAGAACTTTATTTCAAGAGGGTAACACACGACAGTAAAGTTAAAAAAATACGGTTTTCACTTGTGGCGGAGTCGGAAGCAGTTCATTCGTGAAATTGCAAATAGAAATCGTTTGTCATAGGCGTAGGTAAAAGCCAAGAAAAAGGAAGCCTTCCGATTCTTTGGCGATTTCACTTCCGACGCGCTCCCGACTCCGACGCGCTTACGACTTCAACTCCGTGAAAAGTTAAAGTACGATAAGCCAAAGAGATTGTGGTGTAAGAAAAATAGAATTGAAAGGCGTAGGTGTATTTTAGATTAGTCTAAACATACTAATGATCTATCACGGATCCTGCACTCTGATTGGCTGAGGTACTAGTGGTCTATTAGGGATAGAGTACCAGTAGCGAAACGTGCTGGTTTTGAAATCCAAAGCAGGTTTATACTTATAACGATTAGATATCTCGCCCTCATGATTTCAGGACAATAGCCTATTCGACCTTTAGTCTTTGGCCTTATACGCCACTGAGAGCGAGAGTCTAAAGGCCGCTTTAGACGGTACGATTTTCGCCTACAACTATCGTGTACAACACGCTCGCGCCATTCTACAACTCGAGTCGTAGCGTGTAAATCAAGCCTACAACTCGCCTACGACAGACGCAAGCATGTTGTATACGATAGTTGTAGGCGAAAATCGTACCGTCCAAACAAGCCTTAATACAGGCTTTGCACCATCACGTGACGGCAGCCATGTTAGATGACAGGAACAATACAATCGTTTTACGAGAAAGAATTCAATTCCCGAGAGCAAAGGGATTTTATTGTTCTGGCATCTAACCACAGGTAGCCAAAGCTGTATTATGGGCGCCGGCACGTGATTGTGCAAAGTGAAAAGCCTCTATTGTTAAATCTCCGATTCCTTTGCGTTGCTATGGAGACTTGCCAGCAATAGGCTAGCTACACACATTAAATCTACACTATTCTACACAATGATTATGTACACAATGGTCGATGGAGTGACTTTGGAGTGGTCTTATCGTGCACGGTAGCATACCCTCTACTTACATTTCAACGCATTTTCAACGTTATTTTCCTCATTCGGGTTGCCTGTGTTTGCCAAACTCGACTCTATCCCAGTCTCGCCGCATTCAGAATTACACAGGGAACCCAAATGGCGAAAAACATCATTAAAAAATGCGAAAGTCAAGGCTAAGCTAAAGTGCAACTTCATTTACGATGGTTTTAGAATGAATTTTGAACAAAAACATTGTTATGAATTTGGATGTCAAAATAAACCAAACCAATTCTTACCAATAGACTTCTTAGTCGGTAAAGAATCTGCAGTGTTTTGTCTCAATCGGTGAGAAGCATTAGTAGTTGCTTTTCGTTTCTGACCAGCCTCAGACGCTCCTCGACCTTCGTTAAACGATCGAAACCGATCTGTTAATAATGTATGAATCTCACCCGTTAACGTTCGTTCTCTTCGTGAATCGTTTCGTGATCGATCAGCTTCGGTCATTGATCGTGCTCGACCCAGGCCTCCTCCCAGTGATCGCTTTCTTGGTGACGTTTTCTCTTTTCCTGAGAATTTAAAATGAAATGCTCGCTCAACTCATTGTTAAGAACCGATTCATAGTTCCGTCATACGATAGAACACCAATCAACCTCGCAATAGTTTTTCCAGTGGAATTAAAATCTTGTCCTACACAGAATCTGGTTTAAAGAGTATTACGAGAATGACGAGGGAATTTTCTACTCTTTTCGCAAAGCAGTAAACTATTTAAACTATATCAATTTTCCGCTTGTGGGACATAGCAACGGTAACTAAGGGGAGTCGGAACCATGAACCATGGGAATTTTCTGAGTTTAAATACACAGGATGTATTGTGGTCTAGCTTAAGTCAATTAAACGTTAATGTAAGTTGAAGCTAGAGCACAAGGTGTCTTCAATCTCTCAAAAAGCTACACATATGTAAACCTCTTGGGCGGCTGGCTAAAAATGAGGAATACCTTGTAATTTCTTGAAGACTTTCGTACTCATAAAATCTAGAAATCTTTTGCTGTAAAAACTTGGACGATGGACAGAAACTGTATCCTGTTAAAAATGAATAAACAAATGAATGGATGGATGAATGGATGGATGGGGATGGACGGACGGACGGAAGGAAGGATGAATGGATGGATGGACGGACGGACGGACGGACGGACGGACGGACGGATGAATGGATGGAAGGATGGATGGATGGAAGGATGGATATATTTTTACTATAACGAACATGTCTCACCCCATCGTGAACAATGGACTTCCATCCATGTTCTAGTTTTTTCTTTAGTCGATAGCTTTGCAGAATATCGATAATACCAATGAACAGTAACAGTCTTTCTCCTTTAGCGTTCCTCGCAGGAATACCACCAAACCTAACAACAATACTCTGTTAGAGGACAATTGTCTTAAAATAAACCATTTATCGAACGGCAACGGTACTTAGAGAGCTTTACTAGTGTTGGGAGAAACATACACACCATACGACATGCCGTTACATTCAAATGGCTTCCAATAAGAATGGCTATTGCACGAGTGGAAAATGCACAGTACTGACTTACAGCACGTACACCATACGACATGCCGTAACATTCAAATGACTTCCCATGAGAATGGTTATCGTACGAGTGGAAAACGTGCAGAACTGACTTATACCACGTATACACACAATACGCCATGCTGCAACATTCAAATGGCTTCCCATAAGAATGGTTATTGCACGAGTGGAAAATGCACAGTACTGACTTACAGCACGTACACCATACGACATACCGTAACATTCAAATGGCTTCCCATAAGAATGGTTATTGCACGAGTGGAAAATGCACAGTACTGACTTACAGCACGTACACCATACGACATGCCGTAACATTCAAATGCCTTGCCATAAGAATGGTTATTGCACGAGTGAAAAATGTACATTACTGACTTATACCACGTAAACGATACGATATGCCGTAACATTCAAATGGCTTCCCATAAGAATGGTTATTGCACGAGTGGAAAATGTACAGTACTGACTTACAGCAGGTACACCATACGATATGCCGTAACATTCAAATGGCTTCCCATAAGCTAAGAATGGTTATTGCACGAATGGAAAATGTACAGTACTGACTTACAGCACGTACACCATACGACATGCCGTAACATTCAAATGGCTTCCCATAAGAATGGTTATTGCTCGAGTGGAAAATGTACAGTATACCACGTATGTAAACAATACATGTCGTAACATTAAAAAAAAAACCACCATTGTTTCTTTATGAATCATCCAATCACAACGTCTAGTTATTTTGCACAGTTCTAATGGGCTCCCTGTGATTTTTCTTTCACAGGGAGCCCACTTGGATAAAGTCAAAACCCAACACTCACGGTCTTTCCCCAGTTTCTTTGACTGTAATTGCTTCCCATACTGTATTGAACCCTTCTCTTCCCTTTAGACTCTTGGATCGCTGTAGAGCTGCGGTGTCTGGTGCCTCTAGCTGATCGTTTTCTTTATGTTCGACTGTGTAAAGACAAAAACGTGTGTTACAGTATGTATCCAATATTTTAAACAATGTATTCTTAGTTCTTAGTTACAGTACTATTAAACGTGTCAAACAAGAATTTAGGGACGGACCATTAGATTTGGGG